CCTTCCCCTTGGGGCTGTCAGGGGCTGGAAGGGGCTGCCCAGGGAAGGGGTCGAGTCCCCACCCCTGGGGGGATTTAAAAGCTGGGCAGAGGCGGTGCTGAGGGCCAGGGTTTGGGGTGGGATGGCAGGGGTAGGGGAACGGTTGGGCTGGGGGAGCTTAAAGGGCTTTGCCAACCCAAACGATTCTGTTTCTATCTGTTGCATTTCAGAAGTGATCTGAGGTGGGTTTGAGGGGATCAGAGTGACCTGCCTGTGCCATTCTGATCCGTACCCTACCTGGAGCCTTTGCAAATGTCTCTTACTCCATTTAAAAAAACTGTTGTTGATTGTTTCACCACTTCTGCCTCCTTTAAGTAGCTGTTTGCATATATATTTGCACTGAGATGTATGTACTGCACAGGCACTCCGTCCCGTGACTAGTCATGACTGTATTTTTCATCCAGAGCATCTTGGGGGAATTTTTCTCAGCCAGTACCTGAGAAATTGCTGACTACTACTTTAGGTTAAAAACTGGGTGTTTTGGGGGGGTTTTGTCTTGTTTTGGCAGGGAATCAGTTTCTGGTTTTATTTTCACAGGTGCGAAGGGGCTGCCAGTCCTGAATGTCCTAAAGCCATAGTGGAGGGTATTATTGAAGAAGAGGAGGAGGAGGAAGAGGAGGAGGAAGGGGGAGGCTCTGTCAACAAAAGGAAGAAAGAAGATGACACAGAGGTAGGGATTCTCTTGCTGTGTTTTCAGCTTGCTTGCACGATGCTCCCCTGCAAGTAGCCAGTAGCTATCCAAGTCATCCTCATATAAAAGGGAGGAACTCCAGGGACCAAAACCTTTATATTGTGATTGTTGTTTTTCTTCTTTGTCTCGTGCCACTGATTCTATCTTGGATTGTCACCCACAAGCATGTCTTTTCTTTCCTCAGATGCTCACAGATTTAGTGCATATTGCCTGAAATGGGGCTTCTGGCCTGAATGAGGAACGCTCTTTTCTGAGCCCTTGTGCTATTTCCATTCGTTTCCATGGCACGGTAGCATTCAGGAGGTTGTGCAGGCAATTGCAACCTAGGAATGTAAATTCCTGGAGGAAAATCATTGTAGCCAGCTTAGTCCCTTTTATTTCTGTGTCACTTAAGTGAGAGCCAAGTCTGGACATTCCGTGAGTTATTTGTGCCAGTAAAAAATAGCAAATTGAGAGCGGCCTTCTCTTGATCGATGGGTGTAGCTCCTTCGGACTTCCTTGTTCTCTACTCATGTACTTTGGCTGTGATTTGGGGAGGAATTTAGGAACAAGGAGGGTCATCCCTTGGAAGCGTGTAAACCACCAGAGGGAGCCAGTATTTTTTATATATATACTTCCAAGTGGCACTCTGAGTTCATTTTATTTCAGCTGCTTTACTGATCACTAACGCAGAGCGCTCTCTCCTCCCTGCAGACAAAGAAGGAGCACTTATACACGTGGCGAATTGAACTGGCGAAAACAGAAAAGTACTGGGATGGCTGGTTCAGGGGTTTATCTAACCTCTTCCTGAGCTGTCCAACTCCAAAGCTTTTGCTTTTAGCTGGTACGTGTCTCTTCCAGTCCTGTTTAGGTTTTGGTGGCTGTTCACCTCGGTGATATGCATGCCCCACTTGTATTTTAGAGAATAGGGTCAGCGCTTGGCTAATGTCTTTCTCGGAGACTTATCAGATCTGTCTCTTCCACCTTGATTTTTCTGTGTATCTTGAAATACCATAAACCAGACTTATTAGATCCGTGCGGATCTGGAATTAGTTCAGAATCTCTCATATCAAAATTGCACATGTATTGCTGCTGTTGGAGGGGTGGTTTTGTTGTATGGAGTGGAAGAAGAGCAAGCGGGGCAGATCCAAGCTGTCCTTCAGCCTCCACTACTACGATGGTTCCCTGCAGATATGGGCATGATTTGAACTTCTCAACTGGAAGTCAAATTGTTGATATTGGAGAGCCAGCTGTAGGCCCTTTTTGTGCCCTGATAGGAAATTAAGCATGTAACCAAGATAAACAAGATAAATACTCTTTTAAGTCATCGGGAAGGATGTGTTCTTGCATTTTTGGCTGGGATTCTTTCCTATTACTTCACTCTTTTGAGGTGCAGCAACAAAACATCCCTGTGGTGGGTGTCAGAGATGTTTCTTTTGTGTTTTCCACACCAAATATCTCTTTCAAAATGTCAAGTAAAGTCCAGCCTAGACAGTCATACTCTCTCTGGCTTTTCTCCAATACATCTGTTTATTTGATTGTAGGTGTTGACAGGCTGGATAAAGATCTAACAATTGGACAGATGCAAGGTAAATATTTAATATTGTTACTCTATCCTTATTGTAATGCTCTTTTTGGGTGATAGCTTGTGGCTACAGGTACACGAACGAGGGAGAGCTGGAATGGCCTCTTACCAGGGACAGTCTATATCAAAACAAATTAAGAATTAGTCCATCCCAAGTGTTCTCTAACAGCCTGGGGTTGTAGGAAGAGTGGAGAAGTTGAGAAGGGAAAGGTTTGATCAGAAGTTGTGAAGGGCTGTTGCCATGGTTTTGTTCACTCTGGAGTTTGATGTTTCCAGCAGTGGGGCTTCCACACTTCTCTTGGATCAGAATGATTGCCTGTGAGGATTCTTTCTAACCTGTTTTTTCCCCTTTCTAACTACATTCCTGATGTTCCTAGCTAGAACACTTGGGATCATCCAAAACTGGCTGATCTCCTGGTGTTTCTGTCAGACAGCAGACCAAGATTCAGCATCTGCATTAATGTTTTGGGTTAGGTTTTCTTTTTTTTTCCCCCACCCCAGCTTCACCGATTTCCAGAGCAACTAGTACTGGTAGCAGGTTATGTTGAGGTAGATCTGATAGCAGTTTCAGCTCTGAAAGGCAGTCTCACCTGTGTCGAGAAGCTCTAAAAAGTTTGCCTTCATTTTAACTCCTGGGAACCTCCTCTGGTTACACCTGGGGAAGATGAATTAAGCAGCCAGTTCTTGCTTTCTGTTGAGACTGTCTGCTTATTGCACAGTTTGCTTTAGACTCTTGTGCCTTCCCTGGTCCCTCTTTGCCCGATGCATATAGTGAGGTTTGGTGAGGTTTGTTTGTAAAGAATGCGAGATCCTTTTTAGAAGCGTTCATAAGTTCACAGTGCTTTTAAGGCTGTAGTGTCTGCTGTCTCCTGTGTACACAAGAACTCCTTGCCTAAACCGTTGCTGTTAGAAATCAAGACCACTTAAAAAGCAGCTCCAGTGATGACTCTCTTGATCCGCAGGGAAGTTTCAGATGCAGGTCCTCCCACAGTGTGGCCATGCAGTTCATGAAGATGCTCCAGACAAGGTGAGCCCCACCGCCGGGTTGAAGCTAGATAAGTCACAGTCTTCACAGCTTAAGACGCAAAAGGGGGCCGTTGCTTACAACGAAGCAGAGGTTATACTTCAGGAGTGGTTTTTGGCACGACATCTTAACTGGCTATTTGCAAAACCGCTTGGACTTTTAAGCTGTCTGGAAAGCCTGGGCTAAGATGTTACATGACACAGGGCTTGGCTAGGTTACAGGTTTAACTCTCAGGCTAGCGGTGGCAAAACTAACTCTTACCATGTGGAATGTGGATTTATCCTCCCTGCCTTTCCTCATGAAGTTCTCCACTCTCCCTTGTACTGAGCGGCAGCTTTTGGGGTTGGTCTGCGTTTTGTTGAGTTGGGTGGCTCACATGCTCCAAACACAAAACATACGTTGCCGAAACAGCTTGCAGACTTGACAGAGCAGTGCTGCTTCTGGGTACTGCTGGAGTCAGCGTCCAGATAGAAGCAGGAAGGTGGTGCAGCCGGTGGAGCCTGTGGTTGGAAACACAGCTGGTTTTAAAGCTTGTTCTGCACTGACCGCTGTGAGTGTAAAACTCAGCCTTCCTGTGCTTCGCTTTACCAAGCTGAAGTAGGGACTTTTGTCTAAACATACTGAGTTCTTAACGATGTTATTCTTCTTAATATAAATTCTCAGTAGTATTATTACTGTGAGGTTACTGTCTTGATGTATTTCTTTATAGGAATAACTTGCATCGTGATTTCACCAGACCTTTTTTTACCTTAGGCATTGCTTTAAGAATTACTGAAAGAGGTGGAGAAGAAGTTTGGTCAGTTCTTGATTGTGAGATCAGTATCAGAGTAGAGGTGGAAGCTTGTAGTTCCTTCTTTTACGGAAAAGCCCATTAGACAGAGCTCTTAGTTTTAAAGGTTCACGCTTGATTCGGCAAGAGGATCCTGAGGACGCAAACTGTCATTGGAAATGCTGCAGGCTTTGAAAACTACTGGATTTCTTGATCTCTTTGTGTCCCTTTAAATTCTGACCGTTTTTTTTTCCCCCTTCCCTCAGGTTGCTGAAGCTGTTGCGACGTTCCTGATCCGTCACAGGTTTACAGAGCCCATCGGTGGATTCCAGTGGTAAGGCTCTGCGGGTGCTGGAGCTGTGCAGTCCTCGAGCAGAGCTCTTGCTCCTACTGCCTGCGTGTTTGGCTCTCGATGTGGGAGGTTGGGAGTTCTAGCAGAACGCTAAAACCCACTGTAAACAAACAGCTTTGAATTGCGGCCAGTAATGCATTCGATGTTTGTGTTCTCTCTAAACTTCTTGCATATTAACTTGGGCTAATGAGACCTCTTTCCTCTGAGGGGAGGAGCGAAGCAGAACCCTCCCTAGCTGACTCCTTTCTTTATAGCCTGCCAGAAGGCAGAATTACAAGTTCTATGGTATTTGTTTTAAATAGCATTTTACTTAAGGAATCAAGGCCCTGTGTTTTGGAAACAACTTGCACCACACTTCTTTGGCCAAGAAGTACCAGTGAGATTAGACAGGTAGAGCTGTGCGCGTCACTTTGTCGACTTTCCATGCTTTTCTCATGTGTTTTCCTATCATAACAAACTGTAGAAGTCAGGCCTCTGTGATCAGCCACACAACAGCGAGAGTAGGTTGTGACTGATAAGGTTGATCGGAAAAACTCTTCCAAAGTCTTAGCGTACAGTACCATAAAGCTGGTAACTAAACCCATGCTTAGACCTTACAGAAGGTGCTAATCTTTTTTACCATTCATCTGAAAGACGATCCTAAAATAAGCGTGTTAAGCAGTCCTGGAAAGTCTGCCTGCTTTTAGCTAAGAATTCTTCAACCAAAGCTAGAAGCCCCCAAAATGCGTGATGCCGTAGGACTGGCAACGCTAAAATGTATTGCTGGGTGATCTTTTTTCTTTTCCCCTTTATCCGGTGCCCCTGGGGATGAAACAGTAGAAATGCAGGACTGTGGACTGCAGATTTTTAAAACCAATGAAAGGATATCGTGTAGGTTGATGGTGGGATGTATTGATGTATTGTAATGTTGAATCTCCACCAGGTATTTGGCAACCTGTGCTATCTCTGTGAGTCTTGGAGGAGCTACCCTGCTGCTCCTGCTGTCGTGGTCGTAGTAACAAAAGCGGCTTTAAAACAAGAGGCTTGGAGAAAGTGAGGTGGCTTGCTGGCCTTAGTGTGTCCTTGAGCCACAGACAGCGATGTATTATGCTTTTGTGCTTCTCACTGTTGCGTAGCTTAAAAGTTACTGTTGAATGCATCAATGCTGATTTAGACCTGCACGGTAAACTCCTTGTGGCCTTGTTTGATCTTGGGTAATCAGCTACATTTAGGGTGTCTCAGAGTCAATTATCTGCAGAGAATACCTTGATTTTTAACGTGTGACCTTTCTTCCACTCTCCTTTTTCCCCTCCTAGTGTGTTTCCTGCTTGTTAATACCCTGGTGTTCTCCAGCACTGAGTCCTGTTGTAAATAAACTGCACCAGAGGCCACTGTGATGTATCCATATCCTTTCATCTCTCCAGTTCAGCAGCAGTGAGAAGTTGGTGTGAGATTCATCCCCTAGAACTAGTTCTCCAGAATGTGTAAATGCTTAGGGACTTCCTTGCTGGGAAGCAGCTCGTACTGAAGACCATGAAAAGCTCTTCAGGCCCTTGGAAGTGGGCTCCTCTCTGCTGCCACAAGGGAAGACCTCCTGAAATCCCAAGTAGTCGACCATACCGATCTCCATCAATTCTCAGGCTTTCTTGGACCCAACTGCAAAAGAGGCCGTTGGCAGTCCAGGTCCACCGAGGGCATTGCAGCATAGCCAAAGGCGTCAGGATTTCTCCATGGAATCGTCTAACTTTGAAGTGCCCCTTAGGTTTGTTTTTTATATACACGTTTCTTTCCCCTAAAGCAGACGAGGAATCGGCTTCATTGGGAGCTCAGGTTTCATCTCACCAACGCCAGCCTTACGAGTTAAGCTGCGGGAACAGCCTAGATGCTACTTTCCTGTGCAAAGTTGGACAGGACTGTAAAACAAAAAGGCGAGGGGGGACTGTGAGCTCCATTCCAAGAGTCTTGCCGCTTTCTTAATACTTGTTTCAAGTTCTCACTGAGAAAAGTAGCCTGGATAACTCGTTCTGCTGCAGACACATAACAGGCAGGGGACTCTGGGCCTGCGTTGATGGGGAAGACTCAAGAGCAGCAGTAACAACGTGGTCTGCAGGCGGTTTGCCTGTTTGGCCGTTCTCTGTGCCTGGAATGTGTTTATGCTTCCCTTCTTGTAGCTGCTACACACAGCTGAGCAGAGATCAGCGGCCTTTTGGATGAAAAAATGCAAAAAGTGCAGTAGATAAGACCCTGGAAGAGCTTGGAGTCAGTCCTGCTGATGTTGGTGCAGAGGTGTAGGGAGCTGCTGCTGCGTTACGCTCCCCCCAGTACTGGAGGAGACCTTGTTTTCACTGTCACGTCCTAGACCGTTTCGCTGCCTGCCTTCCATATTTCCATGTAAATGCAGTAGTTACACGGAGAGCTTTTCTTCAGGGTTAAATTATCCACAGACAGTTGGTCAGATTGCTTGCACCTAAGAATCACTCTTAAGCGGAAGAGCAGACACGGTTTGGAGCAGTTTTCCTCAACATTTTGCGGGTGGATGTCTGAAATTTTTTATTTTTTTTGCCTTGTGTCCATAACCCCTTGATGCTGTATGACGGGACGCAGTATCTTAACGCAGTTTTGCTGAGGCAGAGTTCTGTTGTCGGCCTGATTTGGGAGCTGCGATGTCCAGCTCTGCGTACGTCCTGTGACAAGAGCCATCGTGAATTCTTGGCATTTGAGAGCTGCAGGTGGGGCAACGGGAGACGGTGTGAAGAGCTGGCAAAGCCTGGTTTAACTCTGGCGTTTACCCTGGTGGAGAGCCACTCATCTCCTCTGATTCATTCGCCTGTGAGCCCTGGACTCGTGGCTTTGCTCTGCGTCCCTTCCCCGACGCATCAGGGTGGAAAATACCTGAATTAGAGACAAGAAAGCCTCATTCCAGAGAGCTCTCCTCTCTCCTGGCGCTTCGGCCATCGGCACTCAGGCGTTAAAAGAGCGATTGCTTGGCTCCCGGCGCTTCCCTCCGTAAGTCACCGTGTTAATTATTGCGTTAGTGTACCGTGACCTTGATGTAACGTCCACCCCTGGTTTAGTTGCTGACAGATTAAATGGATCTTCAGTAGTTGAGATGCAAAATAGCACTTTCCCCAGCTGTATCCTGAAGATTGGCAAAATTCTCGCTCCTTTCCAGATGACTCCCGTGTTCAGACTGTCAGAGACTCAAATAACAGTGCGTGTCCAGAGCCTCACTTCATGGAATAGCAAAGCATGTGCCTGTTGTCATACTCATGAATGATCTCGGTAAAGTCACATTCCTCCGCGCTGAAGTAACTCGGAGGATCTGGCTTTGAGTGATTCGTTGCGGTAACTCCTTGCGTTTGCCTCTCACGTTATCCCTTTCATTTGCTTTTACAGTTTGCGAGATATTAAAAAAAAAAAAAAAAAAAAAAAAACCCCCCATGGAAAGCAAAAGAAAATCGGGTTTGTATTCTGTAGAAGCACCATTGGAAAATGAATGACTGTTCCTGAATCCTGTGGGCTCCCCGGAATTATATTTTGTTGTTAACATTTGAGAAGTGAGTGAAAAAATAAATATTTCAACAGCCTATTTCATGTGGCGTTGCTCCGTGCCAAGCTCTCAGGCCTGACTTGCACAGAGCAGGCGGCCGCTCGGGGACGCATTTCGGGCCGGCTTCAAACAAAGGTGGCTGCAGGGACGGCGGCAAGGGCGGGTGGCTGGGTGGAAGGGGGATTCCTTTTGGCTGTGTCGAGCCACATACGTTTTTGAGACTGTACTTTTGTCTGAAAAGTATTAACGCCCCCTGTTGCGGTTTCTTCTCCCTTTTCAGGGAGCTACAGGCAGAGAGAAATGGTATTTAGGTGAAGGATAGCACAGCCCGTGGTAAAAGTCGCTGCGGAGAGAAGAAATGTTCTCTTTGACTCATGGAAAAATGGGGAGATCTGGAAAATCCCCCCCATAACTACCAGGTTCCCGCTGCATTTTTCCACAGCCTGCAGCATGGTACTGTCTCTGGAAAAGCAGATAAAGAGGAGGAGAACGTCTGAGTTGAAAGGATGCTGATTTACGCCGGCGCTTTTGGTTATTTAGAAACCTATCTTGCTTTTGTTCCAGTCATTGGATTGAGGATCAGTGGAAAACTTTCACAGTGGAAAATCCCGAGGCTTGGCAGGAGCAGAAGACGCGGTTTGGGGAGGCTGGTTTATTGCAGCCTTCGCTTCTTAAATTTTTCAAATCAGACCCAGGATGGGTTTTGCCAGCTCTCAGCTTGTAAGCACCGGACAAAACCCTGGGTGACTTGTAGATTCCAGGAGCATTGAGATTGTTGGGAAAAGGTATTTCCTGCATTGCTGCAGCTTATAGTTTTGCTCTGAACGCAGATCCTGCGAAGGCAGGGCTCGGCTGCCTGGCTCTACACGCGCTGAAGCCAGCTGAAAACGCTGTTAGGGACCGGGGCGGTCGACACGGATGGACGCAGACGCTTGGTGTTGAAATGGTTGCTGGCTCGCGTTGCTGTACAGAGCTCACTTTTTTGGGTTTTTGGGGTTGGTTGGGTTTGTTTGGTTTTTTTGGTTTTTTTTTTTTAGCCTTGTCTTTTTTTGTCTTCAGCCTGCCCTGGTCCAGATGGGAAGCGAGCGGGGAAGTGATACCAAAGCCCGTTAAAAATACCGATGCCTGCTGCGACTGGAGGTCGCTTTCTGTGCAACCGAGACACCCTCTGAAAAAAAAACTAAGCACTATGGTAAAGCACGGCCTGACTTCTAAACTGAGCTCATGGTCGGGGAGCCCTCGGAGGTGGTGGTGGTGTGATAGGTCCCCTTGCTAACACCAGTAGCCCAGTAAATCCCGCGCTGGGCCAGTTCAGAGTGAACCTCCTTGCTTTTCCTCTCTCTGCAGGGCAGGGCTGAGCGACTGCAATAGGGCAAAGCCGCTTGCTGGCTTCTCTCTCGTTCAGCGAGACCATCCCAGGACTCCGAAAACTTTACCAGCCTGCTGCTGTGTTCAAGGGTGTCAACAGTGAACGGGGGAGCAACCGGCAGGTACCGGAGCAGGGGAGAGCAAACAGCTTTGCGCTGGTGTTCTCCAGCGCTGACGTTTCTCCTGCCCTTTATATTTGGGTGTGGATAAGCCTGGGAGGGAGAGATCCTCGGAGGTGTCTGGCAATCAGGCATTCATTGGTTTGAAGTGGTGCTCCACCCTCCTGAAAATCAAGACCTTAGATCTTCAGATAAGTCCAAAAAACAACAAAAAAAAATAGTTTACGGGTTGCCGTTTCCAAGAAAACTTGGCCCTGCTGCATTCAAACGCCCGTCTCTGAGCCTGACGCTCTGCTCACAACCTGAAAGTGCCGTTTGTCTTGCCCAAACCTGCCTCCCTCGGCTGCATCGCCTGCCCTGAGCCGTCCCGTAACGCTGCACCCTCAGCACCCTGTCCGTAAGGCATCCGCATCCCGCGGGACAGCGCTTGGCTGTTTGCTCCCAGCTTTGCTGTTGGATGCTTGGCCAGTTTAAGCCAAGCTTTACCAGCCTGGTGGGGGTGACCTCTTAAACCACGCGCTGCTGTTTCCAAAAGGAAAATGTGTGTGTGTGTCAGTTCTCTGGAGACCGCGCTCTGTGTCCCGTGTCAGCCTCATCCTGTTCATGTCCTCTTCCGTGTCCCTTTCTCTCGCCTACAAATAAAGCATTTGTGAAAAGCCTGGGGTAGGAACTCCTTCTTCCTCGGAGCAGCCGCTGGAGGAAGGCTGGCGTTCCGGCTGTTCCTGGGACATCCCCAGGACCAGACCCAAGCCTTGGCTTTTTCTGGTGACTCACAGAAGCTTCTCCTCATCCCAAATATTCCCCCATCCCTTCGCCGCACTCCGAGGGGGGACGGTGAATGCTTTAGCCACAGCTTTTGCTTTTTCCCTTCCTCTCCGTCACCAATAGCTCCCACGTGTACAGAAACATCTGAAAGTAATAAACCACGGCGCTCCGGCTGCTAAGTAACCTGTGCTGCGTGGAACCGCCTGCTTTGCAACACCCCGACCGCCGGGGTGGGTGTTGCTGTCTGAAGAGCAGAAATTTGGGCAAATTGGCGCTGAAATTTTGCAGACTGCTTTACATTCAAGCCCCAAAGGGCTCCTGCAGCACCGGCCTACGGCGAGGGGCCGGAGCCCCCCCGCTCCCACACCCAAATGCTGCTCACGCCTCGTCCCCTGAAGGGTTAATCCAGGCTTGAGGAAAGACAGCCAGGGGAGCCATAAATGCACATTTTTGAACCCAAAGTGAGCGGGAGAGCCCTGGGAGGGGTCTGCCTGCTGTTCCTCTCCTCCTCCCCAATTTTTGTCCCTTCCAGTTAGCAAAGGAGCTGAAAAAAAAAACACCCCCCCCCCCCCGCCCCAGCAGGTCCCATCTGGGAGGATTTTAATCTCATCCAAACATCGCATGGATGGGGCTGGATGGATGCGGACTCGCTGACAGTGTCCTCCAGGTTGACCCTCGCTTCAGCCGGGCTGTCTCCCGTGGGAAGCGCCCCGGGGGAGCGCAGCGCAGGCTCCCTGCCCGATCTCCGGGCGCTGCCGGAGAACCCCGCTGCCTCTTTTTGCCTTCCAGTCACGCAGGTGCTGCGGCTCGGCCTCGGAGAAAGGGAGCTTGTCTGCAGAGCCCCGGGGGAGCGGTGCTGGCGCAAGCATGGCCGGGCCGAGGGCCAGGGCAGCTGGAAGGCAGCGGTTGCCTTCTCCCTCCCCCCCAGATCCCGCTTACAGCACTTGCCCTGCAAAAAGAAACCCCAAAAACCCTTCTGGGATGTAGAGGAGAGCAGGTTTATTTGAGGAAGGCTGATGTACTGTCTTTGCTCTGGTCCTCTATGGCCATTGTGTTCACTCTGAAGCCTACTGATTACCATTGAAATGCCATGTCACTGCCTACCAGTCCTTTTAGCAGAGGAACTTTTCATCCAGGGCTGCAGGAGGGGGGCTTGAGGGGATGTTTGGGGTCCAGGCTGGAATTGGGGAGGGGGGGACAACACAGACGCGCACCACCCACCCACCCCCATTCATCCCATCGGGTACCACACCGAGGTATTTCCCCCCAAACTCCAGTTTAGCGGCTTTTGAGTTTATTTTCACCAGATTCAGCTGTGGCTGAACAAGTGCCACCGCCCCCGATAGCACCCCACGCTGCTGCCACCCCCCCACTTCCTTCCTTCCTCTTGCTGCAGCCTTGGGGACACGCCCTGCGCCGCCGGGGTGGCTTTGCCACCCATGGGTGCCACGTCCTTGAGCCTGTGGCGGCTCAGTCTTGTGGGTCAGTGCTGCACGGCCGCCGAAACTCCTGCCCGTGCTCGTGGATCCACTTATTCGCCACTGGAAGGGACAAGGACAAGGATCCCCGTCTGCCTCTGTCCCTCTGAAGCCTACTGATTACCATTGAAATGCCATGTCACTGCCTACCAGTCCTTTTAGCAGAGGAACTTTTCATCCAGGGCTGCAGGAGGGGGGCTTGAGGGGATGTTTGGGGTCCAGGCTGGAATTGGGGAGGGGGGGACAACACAGACGCGCACCACCCACCCACCCCCATTCATCCCATCGGGTACCCCACC